ATATAATTGTTAAGATTCCAGAAACTCAACAGAAGAACAAAATTCTACAAGCAGTGAGAGAAAAGAAACAAATCACATAAAAAGGAAAGCCCATCAGAATCACAGCAGACATCTCAACACAAACACTCAAGGCTGGAAGAGGTTGGAGTGATGTATTTCAAGCCCTAAAGGAAAACAGCCTCCAACCCAGATTGATGTACGCTGCAAAACTATCTTTCAAAGTTGATGGTGAAATAAGATACTTTCATGACAAAGAGCACCTTAGGAACTTCATGAATATCAAGCCAGCACTCCAAAAAAATGTTAGATAATATCCTAGGAACAGACAATGAGAATCACAACCCCAGGAAGCCCAGCAGAATTAATCTGTTGGGCGCTTCAAGAAATTAAACGCAAAGGGGGAGAATCCAACAAAAAGAAAATGTCATGACAATGGTAAGTCAATACGTATCTGTACTGGCTATTTATGATCTTCTTATGTCTGCTTTTTAATTGGGTTGTCTATTAATGAGCTGTAAGAATTCCATATATATTCTGGTCTTAGGCTATGTGTATTATAAATATGGTCTGTTTAAAAACTACTTTTCATTTTCTTAACGATGTCATTTGAAGTTCTAAATTTTGATGGAATCTCATTTATCAATTCTTTCTTTTATACATCATATTTTGTGTATCCTAGGTAGTTCTTGCCTACCCTAAATTCATGAACATTTTCCCTTATAATTTCTTCTTAAAGTTTTATAGTTTTAGTCTTTCATATTTAGGTTCATAGATCCTTTCAAGTTATTTTTATGTATGGAAATAAAGGGTTGAGGTTAATTTTTTACATACGGATGCCAGGTATTCTAGTACCATTTGCTGAAAACACTATCTTTTCCTCTGCCCTTAAGTTGAGTTTATGTTCCATAAAATGTTAATGTTAAATAATCTTTCAAAACTCAGTGGACCATATATGTGTGGTTCTATTTCTAGATTCTCTGTTTTATTCCATTGACCTATACGTCTTTCCTTATGCCAACACTGCCTTGATTACCGTAGCTTTAGAGAAAGTCTTAAAATTAGGTAATAAATGTCTTCCAACACTGGTTTTGTTTTTCTCTTTACTTTTCTAGGTCCTTTGTACTCCTACATAACTTTTAAATTTCAATATGCAATTCTTCTTTTATAGCAAGTATACATAGACCTGAATTTATATATAC